CAGGTGCTTCAGAGGTGGGTGTGATGGCAATGACTGCCTCAGGGGGCTGGTGTTAAAAGGCCCTGCCTCACCCCTGCTCTGCAGCATCCACCTTGACTTTCCCTTCCTGCTGCCTCCTTCCCTGTTGTGCAGAGGGCTGCAGGCAGACTCTGGGTGCCCATCACCCCCTTCCTGGGGTTTCTGGGCAGGCTGCAGCTGGCTCTTCAAGAGATGCAGCATGTTCTCCAGCTGGGTGCCATTCAAATGTACATTTCATCTTTAAGAAGCATGTTAATGTCTGCGATGCTGTTGTACTTGAGCCATAAAAGAGCGAAGTGCATCAGAGACCTGTGCAGAAGCTGGTCTGAAAGTTCTCATTATGTTTTGTAACATGGAAGAGCTAATAAAAAAAGCAGGAGAAAAGACCGTGTTTGTAAGGACATGGAGCTGGCTAGTGAAGAGGTGAGCTTTGCAGGAGTGCTGACCTCATTTAAACCTGTAGGTTTTTATGCAGTTCCTGAAGGAAGTTATAATCCAGCTGGTGTCTGGGCGACTCGGAGTTGGACTGCAATGTAGATCACAGCAAGCAGCTAGTGTTGAAAGCGGGATGTTGATGTAGGCTTTTTGCCATGCATGGTCAGACAAGAAACAGGGAGAGAGAGAGTGAGCATCATGTATATTCTGTGTAGTAGAAGCATAAAATCAAATGTGCTCAAAGAGGGGCAGAAGAACACAGACATCAGGAGGGAATGAGCAGGTCTTACTTCTCATGGTGGACAGTGGGAGACAGAATTTGCAGGGAAGGACTGAGAAGTCCAGAAGAGATGAGATAGCTTAGGGAGGAGGGGGGGGGGGCACCTGCACCCAGCAGCTAAGGGATGGTTTTCATTGCTCTCTCCTGCATGTGCCTTCCTGGGCATGCATGCCCCAGATAATAGGACAGATGTCTGTGGGTGCCTGTGTGATCACCCCCCCTCCAGTGCCATCTCAGCTAAAGCCCTCCCTGTCTCTCCCCACCAAGCACACAACCATTGGAGCTGCTGGACCAGAATCAGCAATAACAAACTGTGTTTGCCTCTGAATCTGTGATTCTGCCAGCTGGTTCCCTTCAGGGGCTGCCGTGGCCAGGGGGAGGGCAGCATCCCTTTGGACACCTCATCCCTCTGCACCCCAGCCCACCTCTTTGTTTCTAATTGGAGACACACTGGGAAAGACTGTTGGGCTAAAGGGCCAACAGAATTAAAGTGTTTTCCACTAATAGCCTGAATCTCTAATGATCTTGTCAAACGGGCGGGAGGAGAAGGGGCTGTGCCAGAGCATCTCTAAGGGGGCATTATGCAAATGGAGAAATTAGTTGGAAACAGCCTGAAGGGAAACATGTGGAAATCTAAATCCGAGGACCAGCATGGAGACTGCTGCTGAATAACTTATTATAGACTCACAGCGTCTGCTGCAGCCGCCTGAGCAGAAGGGAGGGAAGCAAAATGGCAACAAGGCACAGCAGTCAAGGAAGCTCCAAAACTTGATTTGGCTTAAAAAATACAAGATGTTGAACTAAACCCTACCAGTGGATGTGGAAGAGGTGACTCTTCAACACTTCTCTCCTGTCCTGCCAGAGGAGGGGTCCCTGTCCCACGCAGGGTCCACCAGCATCACAGCAGTGCTCCATAGTGGTCTTGATAGCACAGGGGGCACTCAGATGTTTTGGGTGAAGGATAGCTAGCCTCCAGTCCTGGCCTGACAACATGTCTAGCCCAGACAGAAGTGAGTGCCGGGATCCTGGCAGGTCGCAACTGTGGCAGGGGATGTGAAAGGCAGGGAGAGCAGAGATGGTCTGTTGTGATGGAGCAGGATTCCTGGTGGCTGCAGAGGGAGGATTTGTGGTTCTCTGAGCTGGCGGTAGAGCGAGACTGGTTAACTTGTGATGTTTTAACTGCACGTACACCTCAACCTGCTGTCCTTGTCTGCACCGCGGAGCTTTCTAAAACATAATCACAGGAGGTGTTGAAGAGTCCCTTTATACATCAGAACAAGACCCCCCTCCTCCACTCATGAGTAATTCACTACCCATAATTTACAACTGAGCTCCCCACCAGCTGGCTACAGGTGCCTGCACTGTGAAATGCAGGTGCTGCCTGGCACAGACACGGTTCTGCAAACCTCCAGCCCCAGCAACCCCATCCCATCACCCTCTTGTCCACTGCTCCCCAAATGCCCCTGCCCTGCCCCTGTTGCCCCACCAGCTCCTCCAGCCTTGCCCTAAGGTGGTGATACCAAGAGACAGACACAGAAACTCAAGAGAAAGCCCATCCCCTGCCCCGCTGCCCATGCCCATGCACAAACACTCCTTTCTTGTCTCACATGCTGGGCAGTTCTTGGGTTGCAAGAAGTGCCAGGTGTCCCAGATACCTGCCTTGTATGGAGGACAAGCCCTTGGGGACCAAGCAAGCCCTGCTCCCTGTGACTGGTGGAACATCCCCTCCTTGCACCCCTGGCCCTGGAGATGCTCCTCAGTCAGCCAGGAGCAAAAAGCTTCATGGTCTGAAGTGTGATGGGCTATGGTTTCTTTTCCCAGCGGTGAAAAACATGTCACCCTCCAGCTTGGGCTCCTTCCGTAACCTCCTCAATATCCAGGTGAGCACTTCCCGGTGGGCCTTTCTCTTCAGGATCAGCTAAGGACAGGGTGGACAGAGACTGTGCCAGGGCAGGGCTGGCCTTTGCATCCTGCCTCCTTCTGGGATGCAGCCAGGAAGAAAGCTGCTGAGGAAAAAAGCACCAGCACCTCAGTGCAGATCTGAGCGACCAACGCATCTGAGCCTGCTTCCCCCAGCTTCGTTTGCACTGCTCACCCCTTGGCAAGTGCTGTGGCATGCTGAAACCCCAGCTGCTGGCTACTGATGGGGGCTGGGGGCCATGGCGAGGGGTGCTGGGATAGGGCCGTGCTGAATCTCTCTCCTCTTCCCAGAAGGGTAAGGTGAGAGGGTGGAGGAGAAAAGAAACACAAGACCCCCGCAGGTCCCTGGCCCTGGCCAAAGGGATGCCCTGGGGCAGCCTCCCAGCCAAACTGTGCCTCCATGGGGTCAGCCCTGTGGTGGATGATGTGGAAACCACTGGGGCAGGATGTTGGGTGTCCTTCCTGTGGCACTCCTGGCATCTTCCTCTACCTGGGAAGCCACAGCCCCTTGCAGAGGCAAAGCTGCAGCCTGCTCACAAGGGGTGCTTCCTGCTGCACAGGCAGGCTCCCTGCACACACGCATGCAGCTGCAGAACTGCTGCGGGCTTTACTCTCAAGCATCTGGGTTTGGCAAGAGGCGTCCATCCTGCTGAAGCTCTCCCAACTTCCTCCAGCGCTGTGGTTACTGAAGTGATGGAGGAGGGATGGGGAGAGGGGCAAAAGCAGAAGCCAGGGAAAGAGAAATGAACACAAATAAATGCAGTACTTACCAAAATGCTGTCCTCAAAGTAATATACCAAAGTCTAGGCACAGGCAGTAAATTCTTGCAGTATTAGGCTAGAAAAATGGAAGTTTTTCCTTCCTGAAGTGCTTTCATATCTGAGCATTTTCTCCAAAACTCTGGTGTTTCCCAGGTGTTGACTGTGCTCATTTGCTTTCTAGAAGAAAGGCAGGGAACACTGCATCTGCACCTTGGCCAAGTCACTGGGATGGAGCCACACTGACAGTCGTCAGATGGGGGCTGGTTGAAGAAAGCTAGGACAGGTATTGACAGGTTATTAATATTTTAGAAGATCTGTTGGGCTGGAGGGCAAAATCCTTGAGGATCCCTATGAGGATTGATCTTCCATATTTTCACTAACAGGATGGTATAGGGAGTGCCTAGGTGCCATTGTTGATGAGACAAAACCAGGAGGGTTTGGAAACAGAAGAGTAAAGGAACTGGGCTACCTTGAAGGAAGGAGGGATGGGGACAGGAGGAAATGCAGGGAGATTTGATGAGGGGTTGCCAGCAGGAATTGCTGCAGCAGGCAGGATGCTCCTCTGCCTGCAGGGAACGAGCAAAGGCCTGAGCCATTGCTCCAGTGTGCAAAAGGCAGATCTGACATGAAGATCGACAGAGCAAATTAGTTCTGCAAAAATATCCATGAAGACAGCAGCAGGGCAGCAGCGGTCCACAGCTGGACTCTAGGAGTCAGGTACTGCACAGGAGAGGTGGGGCTTAATGGGAAGGAGGCAGAGAGGGTGGTAGCATGGGGTTATGGGGAATCTGACATCCATGGTCAGACCCTCCCCTGCTCAGCCAAGGAAATAAATGCTCCGGGAAGGTCACGAGTGTACACTCACAGCTGCTACTGCAGCCCTCATTGCCACTGAAAGCTGTCTCCAGCCTCTGGCAGTTTCGAGACATGGCTAATCATTCTGGAGTAATTACCAGCTTACTCCCTTAGAGGAGTTCACTTGTAGCTAATTAGTCCAATTGCTTCCTGACACACAAAGCCCAGGCAGCCAGGGCTCCCTGCAGCAGCACACAGCACTGCTCTGCAGCTCCCATCTCACCACGTGCCTGCCTTCCTCTCCCCATGGGCCACATACTGCCCCCAGTCCCCTCCCCTGGGACTTCATTGGGTACACTGGAGTGGGTGGATGGTGACAAGATCCCACCGACCCTAAAAACAAGGTAAATGGTTTCTTCAGAGATGCTCCACTGGCTCAGCACTGCTCTTCTAAGGCTGCCCCACCACATAGCTTGGGTCCAAGAATGCCACAGGGTAACTCTGAATGTCATTTTCTCCTGTGGGCTGGTGTAGAGGAAAAGCTCAGCAGGGCTTTCTAAGCCTGGGAGGCAACTCCTGGCTACTCACCAGGGAGAGCATGGCTCCTGCCAGGCCTCCAGAGCACACACCAAGCAGATCATCCCCACCATGTCCCAGGAAGCAGAAGAGGACCTTTTGCAGGAGCAGGAACTGAGGTGTGCACAGGGTCTCCCCACACATCAGCCAGTTTTAAAGGAGGGGGAAGCCTTGTCCAGAGATTACACAAGCAAGAGTGAGAAACTGCACAGGACTAGCATTGGAAGACTCTTTATTGCTTTGGTTGCTTACAAGTGAGATATATGCATCTAGCCTCGCTGCAAAGACACACACACATTGTGTTCAGCTTGCAGCATGGTGAGGTGATGCAGGGACACTGGGTACACAAGGTTTGGTCTCTCTGTCTCCTCCCAGGCACCAGGAAGAGACCCTGAGAAAGTAAAGCAGCTGGCAGCTGTGAGAAAGTGAAGGATTGTGTGAAAGGTTATTGCTACAAGACCAGAAAGGCCAGGGACAGCTTGTCCAGAGCCTGCAAAGGACACCAGCTCCTAGCTTGGCGTTCCCAGCACACAGACTTCAGTGGAGACACAAACTAGTCCCCTCCTCCATCAGCCTCTGCTCCTTCTAGGGAAGATCAACACAGCCAGAGGCAAGTACTAAAAGCCAGGAAGCCAAGGTGGCCTTGCTACAGACCCCAGGCGAAGCATTTTTTGTCCTTAGCTGGCTAGAAACCAATTCAAAGATGTTTCTCCCATAAAGCCAAGCACTTCCCACCCTTACATGTGGCTGAGCCAGCACAGTTCTGCTCACTGAAGGGATGCTGGGCACCTCCACACTCATCCTACACATCCATATTACTCATTTAAGCAAGTGCCTGGGGCAGAGAGACCTTCACATCCTCTGCCTCAAGAGGCCTAGCAGCATCCCATGACACTGGCACAGTACTGCCTCCCTCACTCACCCTCCAAGCAGAGAGAGGACAACCCCAATTGCCCTCTCCTTTGGGGCAGCTCAGTGCCTCCTCCTGTCTTTGGAAATGGGCACTGCCAGGATGCTTCCATACCCGACTGAACCACACAGAAAAGAAAGCCAGAGACTAGGAACAAAACAAAACCAAACCGGAACAAAAGTTACAGCAGGGCCCTGGCCCCGGTGCCCTACCAAAGGCATGTCAGCAGAGGAGCTGCGGGCAAGCCAGCTGGCAACTCGCATTCAGGCATCCACGAGCGTCAGCCCATCATGCAGAGCACGCTTCCACATATAATAGGTGGAACGGGCTGTGAGCGGGAAGCGGGCACTGAACTCCTTGTAGGTGGGGAAGGTCTTCGACTCAAAGCGCTGCTGCAGGAACAGCTTGGCCTGTGCCTTGAACTGGGCAGTGGCAATCATATCCATCACAAACATCCGGCTGTTGGCTCTCTCCGACATGGCATAGCTTGAAATGGTGTTGTATGGCATGGCCGGAGCTGGCTTATCTGGGTGCTTGGTGGCTACCTCCATGTGGCACTGGGGCTTAAGGCCTGGCTCTGCTTTTGGAGGTGCCAGGGAAGGCACGCGGTTCAATGGCTGGCCAGAGCTGGTCCAGGGCAGGTCGCGCTGCCCAACAGCCTGGCAATTACTCTTCCAAAACCAGTAGGCTGTGGAGGAGAGAGACGGGTAGCGCAGGCGGTACTTGCAGAAGGGCAGCTGCCATTGCTGGACCTGCCTCCTGGCCACATCTCGCAGCTGCCTTCTCCAGGACAGAGAGGGCTTCAGCTGCAGGAGACTCCTGGGTTCTGGCCGGTCTCCATTCAGCCTCTTCCTAACAGGCACACTGCTGGGCTTCAGCTGCAGGAATGGCTTTCCCATATCTAGAGGCTTCTGGTTATCCAAGGGAGATTGCGGAGGTTTGAAGTTGGGGTTCTCCTTGATGGCTTTTCTTCTCCAGTTGTAGTAAGTGGACCTGGAGATGCCAGGAAAGCTGCGCTTGAAGCACCGGTAAGGCACCAGAGTGTTCATGGAAATGCATTTCTCTAGATAGGATTTGGCTCCTTGCATGAAGATTCCTGCTTGGATGGGGTCTACGGAAGGACTTGGGGATCTTAAGCTCCCCTGTGAATTTGCTGGCTCATCCACATCAGCCTTTTTGGGGACATCCCTGTGAAGCTCCTGCAAAGCATGGGCCTCAGCCAGAGTGGGGGCATCACCATTGACCGTGGTCTGCATCTCATGCTTCCAGGCGTAGTACGTGGATCGGGAGATTTCTGGAAACATTTGCCGGAAACGCTGGAGGGGGATTATATTGCCCTCCTGAAAGCAGGACTGGAGGAAGTGTTTAGCTGCAAACCTGGCAGCCGCTTTCTGACGGTGCTCACGAGACTGGCGCTTCCAGCGGTAGAAGGTGCTCTTGGTAATGCTGTATCGGTCACGCAGGTTGGAGTAGGTGAGCTGGGGGTCACTGTTCAGCAGCTCCAGGGTCTTCATGGGCTGCACAGGAGGTTCTGGTGAAGGCACTGTGGGTTCTAGCTCTTCCAGGCCAACCACAGCCACGAAGTATTGTGCTTTGAAGACCTGCTGGGAGAGCTGCTGCCCTGACCACATGATGTGAAGTGTGGAGGTTCGCGGGCCACACTTCCTGGGTCGGATGAGCCGGTTGAAATAGGGCCGGATCTTCAAGTTGCTCATGGGGTAGATAGAGTAGATGTTACACTGCAGTACTGAGGCAAGGGCATAGACGTGCCACATGTTGGCAAAAGTGCCAGGAAAACAGGTAGCTTTGATATCAGCATCAAAGATGGCCTCCAGGATGGCCATAGGGAGACTGGTCATCTCTGGGGTCTCCTCAGTGCAGAGGGAGTAGCGGGCAGCCTGCAGCATCACCTTGGAGTCAATCATGCCATTCAAGTAGTATTGCTTGTGTAGCAGCATCTCCACCACTGTACGCACCTGCAGCTCCAGGCTGAGGGTGGGGTTGCCCCAGAGCAGCACGCTGGCCGCCTCAAAGAGGTGGTTCCCCTCACCCTTGCAAACCAGGGGTAGCATGTTACTTGGGGCATCCTCAGGATAGAGGCTCCTGGCTACCCGGTCAACCTCCAGCTCCTCCTGAAAATGCCTCCCACAATAGCCAGGTAGGGAGAAAGATGACAAGGTTCTCTCTGCCTCCAGCGCCGCACTGGTGAGGCCCTCCAGTCCAAAGCATTCGGTGGCTTCCTGCAGCTCCTGCAGCACAGACTGCACCAGCTGGTGCCGCGGGATCATCCTGAAGGATGGCAAAAAAAAAACGTCACTGGAGATGAAGACAGTGCAAGCTCCAGACCACTGGGACCTGGCTTCCGGGTCCAGCTCTTCCCCAAAGAACAGGCAAGGAAAAGGGTAGAGGAAAGGATGCTTCTCACCCCTCCACCCACACTCCCATAGACAAAGGAGGAAGCCTGGGTCCCTACAGGCAGACCTGGGACAGGGCCATGGGCTCAGATTGCTCTCCAGTGACCTCCTGTGGGCAGCAGACAGAGCACAGAGCTTCCAAAGATACTAGCCTAGGTGAAATTAAGGAGTGACAGCACCCATTGGGGTGCCAAGCCAGGTCACCTCCTACCCCTGCACCTCGCCTCACCCCTACACCTGTCTCTCCCACCAGAAGCTCCATCCCTTTCGTTTTACTGTGCTGCTGCCAGCACCCAAAGAGAAGAGTTTGTCACCTCTGCAGGAAGACACCCGTGACAGAGGAACACTGCATGGGGGCACGGAGGGACCTGGCTCAAGGGGATCAAGCCCAAGAGAACAACAGACAAGGAGCTTGCCCCTTCCCTCAGAAAAGGGCACTGCATCTGCCCCCACTGCATGCACCAAAACTGCTGTCACAGAAGCTGGGATGGGAGGAAGGGCCAGAGCCAGATCAAGCCTCGGTTACTGATGCTCCAGCTGACAATGGATGTCACTTGCTGCTCAGAGGACACACACCACCAGCCATGAAGAAGCCTGACAAGGACGGCTTCTCCTAGACAAGCTACCAGGCAGGAGACAACCCAAAAGCACAGCTGGAGCATGAGCACTGGGGTGCGTAGTTCAGAGGCTGCACAGAGCCCTCTTCCCTGCCTGAGCCCATCCCACTCCTGTCCTCCCTCTCTCCACATGCCAGCTCCCACTCAGGCAATCCAAAAGCTCAAACCTGCATCCCACGCTTTGTCAGCTCTCTGACACCTATGTGGCTCTGCCCCCACTGCTCCGGGGAGCTTTCGTGACAACGGCACAGTCCTTACCCCATGATCCAGCTCCAGCAGCACAATTCTCAGCACCCTTCCACCATCAGCCAGCCCACTCTCGAACCACTTGTCTCCCAGGCACAACACTGCACTCAACCAAGGAGCCCAGTCTCCTATGTTTTCTCCTAACATGTTCACTGCAACACACAGGGCATCACTTTGCAGTCTACTTGATTCACATCCCAGATGGAGCCTACCTTCTTACAACACCTCACAGGTACCACTACGCGCTCACAGCTCTGTGGAGAGACAGGGAGACGGCAGAGCCAGGCAGAAGCAGCAGCAGCCCTGCGGTAAAACAGATGGCCTGCCAGACCTCTCCCAGGTCTCAGACCTGCACTTTGCTGCAGATAAGGTTATTATTGCCATGGCATCTACGGCCCCTGGCCATGACCAAACAGCAAATTAAACGAGGTGCCACAAAGTCACACAGCCACATCCAGGCTACTTCACCACAGGGAGTCTGTGCTGCTGCTGCTGTCCCTTGCCTTTAATCAGGCCACAGCTACTCATCAAATCACCTCTCTTCCCATGTCCCTAACTCCTCCAGAGTCTCCTTCGTGTTGGAGGCCAGGCCCTTCTTACAGCTGTTCCCACAGCTGTGGAGCATCAGGTATCAGAGACAACAAACATAGCAGAATGGACACAGCTGTGATGCAGGGGAGATAAACTTGTTCTAACATCCTGGTCTGAGCAAGTATGAAGTTGTCACTTCAGGTCATGTCTGTATTGTTGTCTCTTGGGAGTTCACAGAAATTTACAGAAGTTTATAGTAATTCTGACTAAGCCCATAGTAAGCAACATGTGCTGGAGGAGCTGAAGCAAAGGCTTGCAGAGCCCAAGTCCTCCTTCATGGCCTGCCAAACCCTTTTGGAGCCAGCCACCTCACCCTGCAGCAGTCACTGCCTCTCCTTTCAGTCCCTGCAGCCCAGCTGAGCACTGTGAAGGCAAGACAAGCTTTGCACAGGGAAGGGGCGAGGAGCTGAGGTAGGCTAGGGAGCATCAGCAGCCCTGGTCTGTATGGCCTACTGGGCACTTCCCACCCCCTTGGGTGGGAGAGGGAGGACATGAGGGAAAACCGGAGGCACAAGACTTAATCCTTTCTGCAGTGATAGCTGCACGGTCTCAATGTCACCGCCAGCTCCTGATGCCCAGAGCAACAACAGGGCCACAAAAGCAACCCTAAGGCAAACCCCACAGCTGAAACAGGAGAGATGAGCTCCTGGGGCAGGGTGAAGAGGGGCTTAGATAAGCCAGAGGCAGAAGTCAGCCCAACTAGGGGCTTGAGATCACCACCAGATCAAACCCATCAGCTCTCTACACAGAGGAGCTGCTGCAAAAGGGAACAGTTTTTGCCTGCACACCCCCAGAAAAGCAGCTGAACACCACAGACAAGCACTCTCTAAACTGCCTCAGCACCAAAAGGTAAGCAAGGGAGCTTTTCGTGGCTGATAAAGGAGGTTTTACCTAACCTTGCTTCTTTTGCATTGTAACAGATAAGCAAACACTTGCAGATCACGTTCCCTCACCTGAACTGATGGTCTGGTGGCATCCAGTAGTGCAAGTTCCCCCGGCCAGAGGCAAAAATGCTCCCGCCAGCAGGAATCCAGGACACTTCAGCCCCAGCTGCCCCGGAATGCTGCTGCTTTACAGGAGCAGGAGTATCCATGTACCACAGCCCAGCTGGGCTCGGTGCCTCACCTCCCAGCCGCAGCTGCTCGCTCAGGTCACCCCAACAGTAAAGGCTCTTACTTGAGGAGGTGTGAACCCCCATAACCACACAACAGAAGCACTGAAGTGGCAGTCTCCAGAAGCTGTCTAGGCTAGAAATATCACCGTACCAGAAAGCCCAGGGGGGGTTCTGGTGGGTGAGCAGCATTGCCAGCCCAGGCAGCAGGAGAAGCCTGCTCCATCTGCCAACACCCACATCTCCGCCAAAGCCCAGACGCGGGGGAACCCTCTCCTGGAGAGAGAAAAGCCACACACCCTCCTTTAACCCAGGCCGAAGCGCCGCAGCTCAGCCTCGTTCCGACCGTCTCTCGGGCAAGGCACGGACAGCTCGAGGGCGAGCGGTACCTGACAGCAGCCTCCAGCCCCGTCCTCCCGTGAGCGCTCCCACCGCCCACCCCGCGGCCGCTCACGCCTCTCCCGACCGCGGCCTCCCCCCCGGGGACGGGGGCAGCCCCGGATGGGATCACGGGCTGCCGCTGCCGCTCCCCTCTCCCGACAGACAAAAAGGCGAACAGCCCCGGGGTGGGGGAGCGGTCTCCGGTGCCCAGGCAGCTGCCGAGCAGGGACCGAGGGCAGGGCGGGTCAGGGCGCACGCCCGCCCGCCGGGGGAAGGTGCCTGCCGCGGCGAGGGAGCCCACGGGGTCAGGGAGCCGCAGCCCCGACTGGCGCCCGGCCCGGCCCGGCCCCACACTCACCTGGCTCCGCGGGTCGGGTCGCGCCCTGGGCCGCCCCGCACCTTTAAGGGCGGCGGCAGGAAGCGGCACGGAGCCGCCACCGCCCCGGTGCCAGCCCCGCAGTGACCCTCGGGAGCGGGCGGCCGCGTGCGGCGCCGGGCCGAGCCGGGCCGGGCCGCCCCTCCCCGCCTGCCCCCTTCCTCCCCTCCCCCGCCAGGAAGCGGGCCATCCCCGCGGCCCCGGCCCAGATGAAAGCGGAGCGGGCCGGGGGTCACTTCCAAAGCTAAAGTGATAATGGCCATTGTCCCGCCGCCGCCGTGCTTAAAGGGCCCGCCGCCCTGCCCCGCTGCGCCCCGTGCTCCCCGCACCCTGCCGCCCCACAGCATTCTCCTGCCCCATACCCTGCCCTGGCCCGCAGTGACCGAGCCCACTGGGGCTGCGGGGTAGGATCTGGGTGCCTGCTCGGGGCACCCCTCATGTCCCACGGGGAGCAGGCAGGTCCCGAGTGGGTGCCACTGCGGCCCCCGGAGTTGGCACAGCCCTTGTCTGCGTCTGCCCCCTTGCCCACTCGCTCCTGCCAAGGCCATGGTCCTTCCTCTGTGATGCCAGCTAGGAGATAAGTTAGCCTTTCCTCTGCCCTCCCTAAGTGGTGCCCATCCTTTCCCTGGCAAGGCAAGGCTGGTGGGACTCACAGGCTTCTAGGGCTGACAAAATTCATCTGTGCTGCCCTTCAAAACCTTGTTTGTCTATGAGAGGCACCCAAGTGACAGCAGCTGGGCAGCCTCATCAACAGGCTTGAATCTGCCTGCCTGTAGCTGGGCCCTCTGTGAAAGAGCCTTCCACCCTGCTATCACTGCCCTGCTGCCTCCCCAGCCTAATCTCAGGCTGAGATTCCCTGTCCTTAACTCCCGCTCATACAATGGGTTCATCCTGTCCCTCGATCATCACGTGAGGCTGTGCAAACAAGCCCGCATGCCAGGCACCTCGCTCCAGCATCACTGAACTGCCAATGCCAGCTCCACCCCACATCATCCTCACAAGTCCAGAACCCCCCCTAGAGATTCATCCAGGACCTGCCTCACCTCAACCTACACCACCCCAAAATGGGGCTCTGAGGAGCCCATCTGCTCTTGGTTGTGAGAGCTGCGTGTGTTTTAATGATGGGGGGCACAAATCGGTCAACAGGGAACAGCTGGGCTCTTCACCAACTGGTCTCAGTACTTCATGTTCCCTGTGTTGGTGTAGCTCTGGTTGCAAACATCTAGTTTGTTTTCCTCCGCTTACCCTTTAGGGACCAGTCTGAGACCCAGCCCCATCCCTCCACCTAGGGAGGGGCACAAAGTAGCTCCTGATGTCAAAGATGGCAAGGGCTTCCTTCACTACATGTCACCACCTGTGGGGAACCTGTGTGGTACTCATTTCTGCTGCAGCGTTTGGCAGTGAAAGGGCAGGAGGACCCGTGGAGACACTACATACAGGCTTCTTGTGCAATTCAGGGAGAAATCTAAACATGGACTTTTCACAGAGGGGAAATGCGTCCAGTTCTCTTTCCTGCTACCCTCCCTTCCATGTTAGTTTGGGAGCAAGCATCACAGCACACATCAAAGCACACATTCCGTTTTTCCTATCTCCCCCACAAGCACACACCCCAGAGCGTTTTTCCCTACTTTTCTTCTTGCACAACTGAGACCAGGAGAGAAGGGGGAGGCTGAGTGAGGAGGGTTTGACAGCAGGGTGGGCTCTCTGGAAGTTGTGGACTGGCTACTTGTGAGTCCCTCCTGCATCAATTAGGAGACACCAGCCCAGCTGACAGCCCCTGCCTTCGGTGCTCACAGGGGTCACTCTCACTGGACACAGAAAAGCTACAGTGCAAGGAAAAGAGACCTAAACCATCTCCCAGTGAGCTTTTTACCCTCTCAGGCAATCTTTGTATCTCAAAAGCCAGCTCCACTCTCGCTATCAATCTGGCCAGTCCTGGATCTTTTCCCCAGCAGGCTGGTGTACATATCCACAGCTGCTGAGCTCCCCTTCTCATCCTTCATCCTTTTAACTTCTTTGGTTGCAAATGCAAAGCGGTGCTCACAGGGCAGTGAGACACTGGCAAATGCCAGAGTCAGCAGGGTCAGTGATTAACATAGGAGCTGGAAAACACACAAAGAGACAGCCTGGGTAGTTCTGTTATGCAGATGACTGCACACACCAGCTTCCAGCATATAAACAAGTAGTTTGCATTTTTATGTTCCTTGGAGGAGTTCAGTGGGGGACCAGAGTACTCCCTGATTTGGTGCAGGATGCTTCAGCATGACTGTAGGCAATGGAGACCTTTGCAGTTTAGCTCTGGCTAAACTGACTGTTGTGCTTTATCCTGCCTGCTGCAGCCCCATAATCTCTCAGACAAGGCCCAGAGCAAAGGTGCAGAGATGTGGGCTGCACATGGTCTCAGGGTACCGTGTTTCCAGCCAGGCTGGAAGGCAGGTTCTACTGCTCGAAGTTTGGGCACGGAGTCTTCTCCCAGAGTAAGAGCAACCTCCATGCTCAGGAGATAAAACTCTCATTGGTTTGAACCTTGTGAGGAAGGGTGTCCCAAGGACAAGGTGATGCGTTCTTGTATAAGGTATGGCTTCTTCTAGCTCTGTCACTGGAACGTGACAATCCAGACAGTGCCACACATGGAGACAACATTCAAACACTCATTTATCCCCCCCAGCAGGAAATCTCCCCCGTCCCACCTCCTTTCCCACCCAGGGGAGCCCCAGGAGTGGAGGGGGTCAGAGCACCCTACCCACTGCAGCACTGTCCATGACTGTACTAGAAGAGATCATTCAGATAGGATGGAGTACAGCTGAAGTGCCTGGGGCAGCCAAATACCATTCAAGGCAGGTCAGACTGGGGACCGGTTGCCAAAACCACCTCTGGAAATGGAACTGGTTGAGCCAAACCATTCTATGATCCATAATCGGTGGTCTATAATTGACATGTTCATTCCTTTAAAGACATTTCTGGTGCCCTGGCTTCTGTTTTTCCCATCTTTCTCTCTCCAGAGCACTGAGGAGTCTGAATCCAGGCACTGTCACCCCTCTGGGGAATCAGGGGAGCTGGGATTGCTGAGGGGCTGGCAGGACTGAGAGCATGGAGGCTTCCAGGAGGGTTCTAAGTGTCCTAAGTGTCTGCTGCCTTGGCTGAGTTTCTCCCTTGTGCCTTGCATTGCTCCACGAGGAAAAAGCAATGAGCAGAGCTTGCAGCCTGAGTTGGCAACAGAAACAGGGTTGCTGCAGCTGCAGCCTGCCCACCAGTGTTTGGGAAAAGGAAGGTCAAGTTGTTCTGGTGTGACTGTGCCCAACAGGGACACAGAAAACATGGACTTTGCCTCAATTTTTGTAATAACTTGTTCAAACTGAGTGATCTAAGTCTTGTTTTGTCTGGTACTTCTCATTCCCACCCCTGAAACCATCTCTGAGCCCACTGCCGTATGCCTGTGCTGGAGCCCTGGAAGGGATGCTCAGACAGGCTACTGAGCTCTGCAGAAAGGTCCTGTGCAGCACCCTCCTGCCTGTGCATGCCCTGGAATCATGCTGGGCACCAGCAGACAGATGATTTTGTTCAGTTCTGCTCACATCACTCTGAGAGAGAGAGTGACAAACTACAGGGAGTTTTCTGCCAGGCTCAACAGAGCTGGAGTGATTGAATTATAGGAGATGATGCAAGGAGTAAAATCTATTTAATGGTGCTGAAGTGAGAACTGGTGGGCAGGGACATCCAAGTCCATCATCCTCAGCAAGTGAGGGCAGTTGAGGGAGGTGACTTCAGCTGTGTGACAGGAAGGACAGAGGAATGGCACAGAGGAATGAAGAATGTGGCCTGAAGTTTAGGACACTTTGGTGGCAAGGCCCAGACAGGAGTTTAATTTCTCAAGGAAAGTGGGGAGCTGACCAGACCACTAGGTCCCATGTTGGACAAGATATCGGAGGCTCCTAAGGCTCTTCCACACCCTACCACCCTCTTCCTCTGCAGTGACTCAAAGGGGTTGTTCCCTTTCCTCCAGCGCTCCTCAGTGCCACCTCCTTCCCATTCTGTAGAGAACACCAAGGGCCCCCATTGCAGTTCTCTCTGTGACTTAAGATCCCTCCTGGTGGGACCAAGTGACCTCAGTGCTGTCTCCCTGTCCCTCTTCTAATGGTGGCTGCCTCGGAGTTCATCTTAGAATAGAACAGTTAGGGTTGGAAATGACCTTAAAATCATCTAGTTCCAACCTGCGTGATGTTCAGGACTGACTAGTGTAATGCACAGGAGGGCCAGATCTGCTCGCGCCCTGCACTGGGGTAGTGGAGTGTGACAGTAGATCCCATCTCCAGCTCTCCTCTGCTCGGCTCAGTTCTCTTTCCCCATTTGGTTTCTGTCCATCTGGGTTCCCTCTTCCTTCTGGCTCTGAGATTGGAGGGAAGGTTTGAACTTGGTGTTGGCACTGTGCCCTTGCCCCCCAAGGCTCCCTGATGCTCTCAGGCACAAGGCTGGAAATTAAATGGGAAGCA